TAGGGTTAGGGTTCAGGGTCTAGGGTGTCGGTCTTAGGGTCTGATATTTAGGGTCCCTAAACCCTAAACCCTAAACCGTTTGGGGGTTGTGGCTTTCTTCCAAAGGTTCCTCTAGGGGTCTTCTACAAGTCCTCGATAAGTCTAGGACATTTTCAGGTGGGTAGTTACCTTTATAGAAGCCGTATAGAAGGTCTATGTATCTTATAGAAGCCTTATAGAAGCCCTATATACCCTAGACTCCCCACCTGTAGTTTCCTTTATATAAGGGTTCTCTTGAAGGTGTTCTTGGGCTGTTTAGGGTGAAGGGTTTTGGGTGTAATTTTTTTTTTTTATCGGGCCCTCTAAACCTTAGGCCCTAAACCCTAAACCCCTAAACCCTAAACCCAAAACTTCAACCCAAGACCCAACACCCTAAACCCTAAACCCAAAACTTAGACCCCCGAAGGGTTCCTTGGAGGGTTTCTTTTAGGAGAGATAGGGTGCGGGGTGGTTTAGGGTCGGTTCGGCCCAAGCCCCCAAGCCGCAATCCTACTGTTGATGGTATAAATCCTGCAGTACCTTGAGGACCCTAAACTATGGGAGTTATGGTTTTTTTTCCTTATTATGGGGTAATGCAGGATTTATATCATCAACCGTCGTACAGAGGCTTAGGGCATCTTAGGGCTTAGGGTTTCGGGTTTCGGGTTTAGGGCCAGTTTAGGGTTTAGGATGTACGGCATCTTAGGGTTTAGGGTTTAGGGTTTGGGGCATCTTAGGGTTTAGCGTTGAGGGCTTATGGTGCAGGCCTTTAATCATTAGGATAGGAATGGGGCATCTTCGAGTACATTTATAATGAGGAACCCGAAAATAGGAATTATTGGTGATGAATTAGGCCCCTGCCTCACACGTCCGAAACCCTAAACCCTAAACCCTGAACCATCCTAGCCCCTAAACGCCAAACCCTAAACTCTAAACCCTAAGCCCTAAACCCTAAACCCTAAAAACCCTAAACCCTAAAACCCTAAACCCCCTTTAAGGAACCCTATAGATCCCTTTAAGGAGCCCTAAACCCTAAACCGTCCTAGGGCTTCTAGCCGAAGTGGTTGTGACAGCGAGCGTGAAATCCAGAGTCCCTGCGGCTTTGAGTTGACCTCCGTCAGGGCACAAGTTTCGGGGTTTAGGGGTTTAGGATTCAGAGTTTAGGGTCTTTGGGTTTAGGGTTTAGGGGTTTTATGGTTTAGGGTTTAGGGGTTTAGGATCTTTGGGTGTAGGGTTTAGGAGTTTTAGGGTTTAGGGTTTAGGGGTGGTTTAGGGTTTAGTTTTTTTTTTCTGTAGCCCCAAACCCTACCGTGAGCTACAGAAACCCACTTTTTGCATAGTCCCAGAAATTCCATGTTAGGGTTCATATGAAGTACCTGAAAATGGGTTATGGTAGTTTCAGGTACAGATAATGGTAGGTTAGAACGGTTTCATTGTACGTTATACCTTAAGGACGAAGTGTACCTTAAAAGGGTTTAAGGTTCAACTACCATATAGGGGTTCATACACAAAAGAGTACAGGGCCCCTACTCTTTAAGTGTCTTTTCGTCCTTAAGGTACCGTTGAAGCAGTAGGTTTTTGGAGCCAGAAGTAAGCGTCTCCAGAGGCTCCCCCTTCTACCCTAAGTAACTGTCTTCGATGGAGGATCCCTCGGTTTAGGGTTTAGGGTTGAGGGTTTGGGGTTTGGGGTTTAGGGTTTAGGGTTGAGGGTTTGTTTTTTAGGGTTTAGGGTGTAGTATAAGTTGAGGAGCACTGCTGAAGTATTATTACCGAAGCCTGAACGATCACCCCTATTCTTTCTGAGGGTTCCCTCTTTAGAGGGTTCACCACTATGGAAAACAGTGAATACATTTTAACATGCCCCCCCTCCCCCAGCCCTGTTCCAATCATTACGGCCCCTACATTCGAATTTTGGTGGCTCTTTGGGATCTTGAAAATCATAGTGTTGAGGGTCTCTCCAGTGTTCGGACCTTCTTGAAGCTGAGCCCATAGAGATTACCGGATGGAAATCCGGAACTAAGAAGGCTGAACCCTAAAACCTGTTGATATATGTTGATTCTATGAATCCTGCATCGGCTTACAGACGCGAACCAGGGGTAGTCAGTGCAGCGTGGTCCAGTCGCGCATGTTTTGCAGCGTCAACCGCGGGTACAATCATGAAGGACGATACTTGTTAATAAGTCCCCTGGTCCTTTAGTTTAGGCTCAGTGCAGTAGCTACAAAGGCTTTCGAGCCCGGAAGCAAACCCTAAGCCCTAAATCCTAAACCCTAAAACCCTAAACTCTAAACCCTAAAATCTTAAACCCTAAAACCCTAAACGAGATCAAAAGTTCGCCTGAAGCCCCAGACTCCCACAAAATGGTAGGTCATGACCTCCTACTTATAGGGTCTAGGTACTTAGTTTAGGGTTTGGGCTTTTGGGGTTTAGGGTTTTTGGGTTTAGGTTTTATACCCTTACCCTCAAAGGACTCATATTTTAAGGCTTTTGGGTCCAAAGACCCCATTATATTATATAAGGCTTTCGGGCTATTCTGATGCTAAGGGATAGGGTCTAGGCAAGCTCTAGCAGTAGTAGTAGTAGCATTGTAGTAGTAGTAGTAGTAGTAGTAGTAGTAGTAGTAAGTAGTAAGTAGTAAGTAGTAAGTAGTAAGTAGTAAGTAGTAAGTAGTAAGTAGTAGAAGTAGTAGTAGTAGTAGTAGTAGTAGTAGTGCTAGCAGTGGTAATAGCAATAGTATTAGCACATCTTGTCGCGACAAGAGTCATGGTAGTGCCAATAGTTCTGATACTAGCAATAGTCATAGAATTACTAGTAGTAAAGGAAACAGTAATTGTGATAGTGATGCCAGTGGTATTAATACTGATAGTAGTAATGGTAATTGTCATGGTGCTAGTACTGGCAATAGTAGGTACAGCAGCAGTGGCAGCAGCAGTGGCAGTAGCAGTAGCAGTAGCAGTCGCAGTCGCAGCCTCAGCGGCAGCGGCAGTGGCAGTGGTAGCGGTGGCAGTAGCAGCAGTCGCAGTCGCAGGCAGCGGTAGCAGCAGCAGTCGCAGTCGCAGTCGCAGCGGCTGCGGCTGCGGCTGCGGCAGAGGCAGAGGTAGCAGCAGCAGTCACAGTCCCGGCGGCAGCGGCAGTGGCAGCGGTAGCAGTAGCAGTAGCAGTAGAAGCAGCAGCAGCAGGAGCAGCAGCAGGAGCAGCAGCGATAGCAGGTATCAGTACCAACAGAATCGCCATCATTGCCGTGATCATGTAGTGACAGTAACGTTCTCGGAACAGTGTGACAGTGTGGGTGACCGTATTACCCTGCTGACATAGTGATTTTGATGGCACTCGGGGTAGGAACAATATGTAACAGGAATAGGAGCAGATTAACAGTAATAGTAGACACAGTAAATGTACTGGCAAAGTTTCACAATGTAGCAACAATACAGTAACGGGAAGAATGCCAACTGTAGTCACGGTGCCTGTTCTTGTTCTTGTTCCCTTGAGTGTTCTTGCAGAAATAGTCACGGCCATAGGGCTGAAGTTTCTTCTCAGAGTCCCCGATGGCAAGCTGACATTCCTGAGCTCTGCAGACTCCCCCGAACTCAACGCAGGATTTGGGAAAGGATGTCATCCACGTTGATCCCTCGGGTGGTGCAGAGCCTGGCTTGCCGAGCCTGTGCATGTTTAGTTGGAGCGGTGGTTTTGATCGGCGATCCAAAAGAAATGTGGAAGTACGACCCTCCAGGATCTCTTCCGTGCATCTTTCCTTCAATGCAGGCGGTATAGGATGATTCCAAACTGCTTGGCTTCTACAAGGTACTTACTCAGACATGTTTAAAAGCCTTGCCTGACAAAGTGCGAGCATGCACTGCGCTTGGCACCTGCACCAAACAAGGAGCATGATGGACTAACATGCCTGCTGAATTTCGGAGCTGCTTGCTTTAAACCTCATCAAGCATCGGAGCAAGAGGTGTTTGGTTTTGAGACGCATTCAGCAACATGAGCAGCACTTGCAAGAGTTTCTGAATGTGTTTTGTGGACTGTTGCAGCAGTATTTTGCCAGTATGTTGCCTCAGCAAGCGCATTGTGTTCCAGACTGGTCACTTTGACCTCGTACCTAGACTCTGTTTTTCCTGAAAGAAGTTGTGATCACCTCTGGGCAAGACATATGATAGACCCTTCAGACGTGGGTAGAAGCGGTTTCCTCAGGAAGACTTTGGCTGATGTCAAGGTGCCGCCAGATGCAGTGAATCTGCGGCTTGGCCGCTGAGTTGTCAGTAGGCCTGAGATATGTCTCCACACTAAGATATCTTCTCAATGGCTTGGTCAAGGATCCAGGCAACAGTCAACCATGGTCTATGCCCCGCTGCTCCGAGGTGTGCGAATCCAAAGATTGGAGCTCCTCCGCTGCAGTTACGACTTCGGACGAAGCCGGGCTCAACGTGGGGCAGGGCCTTTGCGGACGGTTGTGTACACCGACGCAGGCATTGGAAATCAATACTGGGTGATCCCATGCACTGTACTGGTCAAAGCGGTTCATCACGTACCATGGGTGGACAGCATGCGCTTTTCACAGCAGTTCGAATGTGGCATGACACTCCGTGTTTCTGGCCATAGACTGAACTGCAGTTGAGCTGATTTCAATGCGCAAGTCCGTGGGGTCCAAGGCCACAGTGATTGACGACATGCACAAACTCGGGGAGTTCCGGCAGCAAGTGGCAGCTCACTGCGTCTCAGGGCATGTCTCCCCTAAAAACCCTAAACCCTATCGTCTGGCATGGTGGCCCAGCATCCCGAAGGTGAAGAACGTCTTCGTGCAGCCTGGTGCCGAAACATGTGAGCTGAAGGACCTGGCAGTTCCGGCCGCCAAGCCTGCCAGACTGCTACAGTCTGCTATGCTACTTGTATTGTATTGTACAGGTGGGTTTGTACTCTACCTGACTATATTATGCTTACTACAGTATAATATATCACACTTGACCATGTTTGCACAGTGTGTCATACTATGTAGTTGTCGAAAACCCAACACCTGCCAGGACAGATGCGAGGATCTGGGCATTACCTGGCACGAGGGCTGCGTCCTGATTGAGTCGGGAGCTCCCGGGCACTAGGAGTCCAAGCCAGGAGCACACTGCAATCGCGACTTGTGCAGTTTATCGTCATTTGAGGCTACGACAATTGTCGAATCGGTTTTGGTACTCCAGTCCCTGGCAGCCCAGCGGTGTGATCCAAGGGCAAAGCCCTGCCTGGGCTTCCACCGTAGGAGCTATGAGACAGGAGCGAAGTAAGCTTTCAACTTTTGAATCGGCTGACCACGATGTGCTGAAAAGCAACGCGTGCGAGCAGGCTAGACCTCTGACTTCTGGGTAGTCTTGACGGTGTGCAGTCAGACTGGCTCCCGTCAATGGGTGCCTTGGGAGCAATCGACTCTGCTTCGCGCACAGAGCCGTAAAGACTGCAGCCGATCGGCTGACCTCTCTCGTGCCCAGACTTCGCCACTACGATACTCTTGTCAGGCCCGACCCAAACCGGTTCTCACTTCAGGGCCCTTTGTGAGCCGAAACGCTCCCTGTGATCTGCTGCGCCGAGGGGGGGAGGCCTCGTGGATCAACACAATGCATCGATGTTGTGGCCTGAGCATGGCCGAAACTGCCTTGGCAGAGTTTTAAGGGGTCTTGCCTTCAGTGGCCAGTTCGTTGTGTATGTGCATGAGAGGGGAGTGTTTTCTGAAATCCATTGCCCCTGTCGGAAGGGAAGCTCTGTCAAACGTCGTTCAGTGAACATATGGCAACACTACGGGGTTCTTACGTTAAGAGTGGAGTGATTTACCTGCCGAAACGTTATGGATGTTGTCTACGCAAAATGACATAGCTTCTGTCGACTTCTTCCAATCACAAGTCGTCTGTAGCTGCTTGGCATTGCAGAAGGACAGTTCATACATGGAGAATGTCCTTAAAGCTGCTCTGTCATTAAGCGTTCTTGCTTGCTTTATCAAAAACTGTTTGGTTATTCGTTGCTCGACAATCCAATACCAGGCGTTTGTCAACGCTTTGCCAACCAAAGCGTCGATGTGCCGGAAGTAAAAGCCAGAGGTGCGGGCAGACTTACACCAGTGGAGGCCGGGTGCGGCACGTATTTCGCATGCCGAGGCTCCGACAGCCTCCTTCATCGCTTTGCTACCTTCGGCAGGCAAAGTGCACCAGCTCTATTCCTTGCTTCTTCGCCTCCCAGCCTGAACGAGCTAATAAACATGGAGCTAATGACGGTAGACACTTTCGACTACAGAAGCAAGGCTGTCTGATGGTGTTTGATTCGGCGGCCTAGACTGAACCAACAGGTACCAGGACGTTCGGGGCTGGGGTGGAGCTTTCGTGGAGGCGGTTTAGGTTCGGTGCAAAAAGGGAGGAAGGGAACTATAGCAGCTGGATGATGCGGATGATGCTTCTGCGCAAGGCTTGATGGCATGCATCCGAGATTTTGGCTTAGAAGCGTTCTTTGGGACATTGCCGGCTTGCAGCACCCGCAACCATGGCTGGAGAGGCACCGGCAGCTTGTCTGCTCCATCTGCCATCCTGTGGATGTTCTTCGTCGCGCCACGCTCTGCCAGGCAGGCAAGGCAAGGACAGTTCTGCTGGCCACCGAGAAGGCCGGAGCTTTCGGAGACTGCAGGCCCGGATCATGCTGATCTGGAAGGCTTTTGCGGCGGCCGCTGTGACAAAAATCGAAGATGTCCTCAAGGCCGTGTCGCTTCGCCACTTGACGACCGTTGGCTTAGCCGCAATTGAGAGGCTGCGAACTACACCCTGAAGAAGCTCGAAAACTACAAGAGCAAGGACACTCGCAGTGCCCGAAATGAGTGGAAGTCATAAGGGATCCAATCTAGGGAATTCATTCAGAACCTAGGTTTTTCATTATCACATGGTGATAGAATTTGCATGGGTGAATTGCAATTGCGAAAAAAATGCGTGTTGTCGTGATTTGGAGAATGTCTAAAGTAGGCAAAAATTATAGATTTTCGGACAATACCTGAAGCATTCTTTCTGGTCTCGGAATCTGGTTGCAAGCTTGCTATGCTTCGATAGTATTGAACCCAGGTCATCGCACACTTCCTAGTTGTCGCATGCTTCAGACTTGGCTGAGTTTTTCGAATCAGGGGGTCCCTGTCTTCATTTGGTCGCAGGTTTTTGGCCTTTATAGGGGCCCTGTCTTTCGCATTTTCTCGCATCTGCGATAGACAATGCATTTTGCATTCGCATCTTGTGCACATTGTTGGCTTTCGTTCCCGACTAAAGGCTGGGAGGACACTCCAGCCGCAAGCCGTAAGGCATGTTGGAAGCTTCTGTCGTGCCACTCACTGCGCATGGCAGAATCCCTGTTAGGAAGATCTTCTTGCAGCTGTGACCGATGCCGATGCTATGATCATCCGAAGCGACATTGTGGATCAGGCTTCGTGTTGAGCCGTTTGTGCACATGGCTTTCGAGATTGGCACCATTTGCGAAGGCAGTGCTGGACAAGGCTGCAAAGATGAAGATCGTGGTTCGTGCAGGCAGGTCATTGGTTTGAAGCGGCTGCCCATCTGGCTTTGGAAGACGACGGGTCTTAGACTGTGCTTGCTTACCCGCGCTTGTCGCATGCACTCCCCAGGCGCTGGATACGACAACATCGATCTCAAGGCTTCATCTCAACCCTAAAGATGAACTGCAGTGAGCACTTGGTGGTCCCATGCTCTTGTGCTCTCTTCTTGCTAGGCTTGCGAGGGCAAGGGGATCACTGCCGGGTGACCGAGAACGGAAATGTGTTCTGACGTCGAGTCCTGCGGGCGAATCTTATCACTTCTAATGCGAGGCATTGCGTAGAGCTCGGGATAATCACTCACTTGTCGCACGGAAGAAGACTAGTTGAACTCGTAGAGTCGTAGAGGTGGTGCGAGGATTCGAAGTGATCGTTTGTGTTTTTGCTTGTTTTCACATGCCAGAGACAGCCACACTCTAACAGATTCGAGACCCGTCTATGTCATGAAGACAGCTTACCCTTTCAAAAAGCTGAATGGTTTCTGGGGTCACTGAGAGACTAAGGCCATGAACACCCCCGGTCAGAACGCAAATGCCGTGGCGGAGCTTGTCTTTGGTGCCTCGGCCAACCTGAATCTGCTTAATCGCCTTTCCTTTAGGAACCCTGCAGCTACGGCCTTCAGCAATAAGAGGCCCATTGCCAAACCCCTGAAGCCTCTTACCGGCTGGATCCGAGGCATGATGATCGTTAGTGCCCGCAACAACTTCGATGGCACCAGCGGTTTCGAGCTGGCTCTTGGCCCGCAGTAGTTGCCTTGTGCCGAGCACCACGATGACACCAGTAATGCTTATGAAAGGGCTACCGCTGTTGATGCTTGTTGGCCCGCTAACGGCTTGTACCAGCACAAGGCCGACCGCCAGGACAGTTGCAGGGATTTGGTCATGAAATTGGTCATAAACGAATACATGTGGAGTCATCATCATCGGCACCATCATCCTCATCTTTATTCGCATCCTCATCCTCCTCATCATCATCAGCAACAACCTTTCTCTTGTTGGAACGATGTCCTTCAGGTCAACCGTGAGATCGCCTTCTATGGCTTCGGAGCAGTTGCTCGTGCTGTGCACAAGCTGGCGCAAGGCCTCCTTTGGAAGGGCTTGTGAGTTGGCAAGGTTTCCAGCTCACAACAATCGCACCGCCAGTGCTTTGAGTGACTTGGGTAGCCAGGCTTTGGCATGAAGAGCTTTGCCTACGATCCTTACATCCCTGCCGACAAAATCAAGGCTCGTTCGATACCTCGTTTTGCAGTGTTATCAGAGTATCAGAGTTGTTTCATGCAAAGAGTCGAAGGAGCTGCCCGAAAAACATCAGGAAGCAAAGCTTTAGGGACTCAGAACCCCAATCGTTCGAGAGGAGATGGGGGCTGAGCCGGTTGCGACTGTCGCGGGCCTCTTTGAACACCAGTATGCCACTCGGCCTTTGGGGTTTCAGAGCTTCGAGGGCCCTTTTTAGACAACGGCTGCTGCACCGGGTCCGTTTTGAATTCTTTCCTAAGTGTTCCACATCCTTTTTCCGTAGTGAAGTAGCGTCTCTTTGTGAAGGTTTCCCTCCACGTGCCTCTCACTGACGAGACGAAAGCCTCGATCAACAAGGCACTTCAGCTTAAGGTGATGCATGATGGGCTCTCCCTTCCAGGGTCGCTGCTGATCTATGTCCGACAGGCATCAATAAATAATATGATGCCACGGACACACACACAAACACACACACACACACACACACGGCGTGTGCATAATGCATGGGGCAGGAATAAGCACATGGCAAGCAAGGGCGAAACCAGACGTGACACGAAGAGCGATGCTGGGAAGGATACCAATGCAGAGCAGGAATGACAAGCCAAGGTGCAGTCTAACACTTTCCACTCCTTCCGTCGCTGCCTTCTGCAAAGACTGAGCTTAGCAGAAGGGCCTACACAAAGTGCAATTAAGGGGTGGTCACGCTGGTTTGCTGTTGTCATGGTCGTCAGTGGCCAGTGGCAGCAGTAATTCCAGTCATACGGACCGCAGAGCGGAGCCGGATGGCTTCAGGGCCGCAGAACCTCAGCATCAGCTGTGTACCGCGAGTTCCTGGGCGATTTCTACATGCACAGCGTTAGGGTGCAGGAGTTGTGTTTTTTGTTCGAAGCTCCATCTCGGAGTGAACATGAGTAGCATACGGAGTTTACGCATGATCTCGAGGTATATCTACACGAATCTTCTGAAATTGCCACGATCTGGGCACAAGTGCCCGTAACAGCTGTCAGTTCCGAGCACTCCCTGAGGGTCACGGCCTTTGATGCGCCCAAACAAGTCCAGGAGCTGCTGGGAAAGATGCCCAAGGGCGGCACCCTCATCAACACCGCACGACTGGAGGCCCGAAGCATCAGGTGGTAGGGCGGCCTCCAGTGCTTCCGTTTCCATTATGTCATTGTCATTGCGGTATGTTGT